TGCCTGAGGTATACCAGAGTTCTAAGAATAATACTCCCCACTCTAGTGAGGATTAAATACTAACATTCACATAAAGTGCCTTTCACATAGTAGATGTTCACTATATGGCAGTTATTACTATGAAGCAAGATATTTTGTTACAACATACATGATTAGAGAATGGAGATTCTCTTTGTATCTTCCGGAGGACCTAGGATGGGGTTGGACATGCATGTTGACTAGGGGAAGTGCAGTCCAACTACTCATGTGTCCACATGCTATGTCTATTTCTCCCACATATCTTGATCACACCAGGCCCATACTCTACTCTGAGGTTCTGGAGCCAGCAGGTCACTGCTTGCTCTACTAGGGCCATGGGGTCAACCATTTTCCCTGCCTTGTATCTGTGGTTCTCCCAAGAGACCTGCTCCTAGTTTTCAACCTCTGCTTCTAGTGTTCCTCTCCTCTGCCCAGACTCCTAGCTCCATTGGCCCATCTGTGCCAGTCTGCTTCACAGCAACCAGCAGAAGCTGTCCCTGGGTGCTTAAATTAGAGATGCTGTTATTCTCTCTCCCTGCCCCTTTTTTTTTGAGTTGGAGTCTCACTCTGTTGCCCAGGCTGGAGTGCAGTGGCATGCTCATATCCACCTCAGTGTTGACCTGCAGCGCTCTAGCGATTCTTCCACCTCAGCCTTCCAAGTAGCTGGAACTACAGGTATGCGCTACCATGCTTGGCTAATTTTTTATTTTATTTTATTTATTGTAGAGATGAGGTCTCGCCAATTTGCCCAGGCTGGTCTTGAACTCACGGGCTCAGGCAATCCACTTGCCTCAGCCTCCCAAAGTGCTGGGATTACAGACTGAGCCACCAAGCCCAGCCTTCTTTTTTTTAAATTAAGAAAAATAATTCTCTCACAGTTTTGGAGGCTGATAAGTTCAACACTGATGGGCTGCATCTTGTGATAACCTTCTTGAAGGTGGGAACTTCTCTGCAGAGTCTTGAGGCAGTGCGGGGCATCACGTGTCAAGGAGGCTGAGTGTGCTCTCTTATTCTCTTTTGATTACTGACTTGGGTTCTACAGACTTAGTTGTGTGCATAGACCACCATCCTTAAGGTTAGCAGCACTGAGGGCCAATACAGAGGGTATAGCCAGACCACAGTTCCTTTACACCCCTGAATCCATCAGCATATTAGACAATATGTGCTGAAGGCATGCAGAGGAGAACCATGAGGTCTATTCAAAGATCTTGGTGAATGTCTGTAGTGGGGTGGGGAAGAAGGAGTTGGGAGAAAATATTTGACTGCCTGCTGCCTCTTTTCTCCCCCACAAGACTTTATAATAACACCACCTTCAATTCAAGAGTGCTATGAACATACTATTTGCAGGTGGATTGTTGTAAATGAACATTATAGAGAAGGGCACTATGTGTATTAGTCAGTAAGCCAACCTGCCTAAAATGACTAAGCAAGGCATGACCTAAAATATTATGCATTGGTTAAGGCTGAAATTGGGGTGGGGGGAGGGATGAGGGATGTTATATGACTCAATTTGTTTGGGCTACTGTAACAAAAATAACATAAATCGAGTGGCTTACAGAACAACAGGAATTTATTACTCACAGTTTTGGAAGCTGTTAAGTCCCAGATCAAGATGACGACAGAATCGTTGTCTCGTGAAGGCTTGCTCTCTGGTTTATAAGTGGTATCTTCTAGCTGCATTCTCACATGGTGGAACAGACTAGCTAGCTCTCCGGGTTCTCTCTCTCTCTCTCTCTCTCTCTCTCTCTCTTGGTTTTTTTTGAGTCAGAGTCTCACTCTGTTGCCCAGGCTGAACTGTGGTGACATGCTCACGGCCACTCTGCCAGGCTCATGGGATCCTTACACCTCGGCTTTCCACGTAGCTGGAAACACAGTTGCACGCCACCATGCTCAGTTAATTTTTTGTGTGTATATGTGACTTATTGTAGAGATGAGGTCTTGCCAAGTTGCCCAGGCTAGTCTCAAACCCATGGGGTCAGGCAATCCTTTCACTTCTCTCTCCCACAGTGCTAGGATTATAGGCATGAGGCACAGCACCCTGCTCTGGGGTCTCTTTTAAGAGTACTAGTCCCATTCATGAGGGCTCTGCCCTTAAATTAATCACCTCCCCAAAGGCCCCACCTTCTAATACCTTCACCTTGGGGAGCTAGTATTTCAACATATGAATTTTGGGAGAACACAAGCATTCAGACTGTAGCAGGAAGGTAGGGATGGAGGTCCTAGAACTGAGATAGTGTCCAGAGGGAAAGTCTGTATCTGTCCTTCTAAGGAATCATTCAAAGCAGGGACCCCAGAGGCAAACAGGCTGGGAGCACAGGATTACCTCCCAGCTAATGGCCCAGTCTCCTGTCTCTCACTTATAGGTCAGAAGGCCCCAAATGATAAGAGAGAACTTTGGTGGAAGCCACTACACAGTGGCTCCCACCCTGCAGTTTTGCCATGAGCATCCCTACTTGCCAGTTGGCCTGCCACAGAGTCCCGGGAACTTCTTGGCTTGTTGCATCATCAGCACTGATCTCAGTCCTGCAAGCCAAGAAACTAGAGTGAGGCTTATCCCTTGCTTTCTCTACAACTTGATTGTTCTGGAAAAGAACTGTGGAGTGGGGACTGGACAACCTTTGGAAAGACCCCCTCTTCTATTTCTGTGTTCTTAGTTCCTAAGTAGTGCTGACACAGAGTGAAGATGAAGGAAATGATTATGGCTTTCAATGCATATGGAAGAGGGTTCACATTCTGGCTTCTTCATTTCCTAGGTGATTCCAATTTCTTCATCCGTAAAATGGGACTAAGAACACTGACTAGTTCTGTCAAGGAGAGACAATATAATGAACAAAATGCTTTTGCTCCCCAAATGGTAGCTATTCTTTAGATGTCCTTTTGTCATTCCCGCTGTCATTGACACAGTTCAGGCTCTTATTATATCTCCACTGATGACAGCTTCCAAGCTAGTCTCCTGCCTTGCATTCTCTGCTCCTGCAATCTATATTTTCAGTATAGTGCCAGAGGAATCAGCATAAAACACAAAGATGCATGTCATGACACTGCACACAATCTTTTAATAGCTTCTTCTTCTTCTCTCCCCCTTCCCCCTCCCGGCCCAGAATAAGGTCTAAAATCTTTACTGTAGCATCCTTCCAGAAATAGTCTTTGGAGATTGTCTGCTTCTATTCATTCACCCATAGACATTTTTTTTTTTTTTTTTTTTTTTTTTGAGTTGGAGTCTCACTCTGTCGCCCAGACTGGAGTGCAGTGGCCGCTTCCGGCCACCGCAGCCTCGACCTGCTGGGCTCCGGCGATCCTTCCGCCTCAGCCTTCCGAGTAGCCGGAATTACAGGCATGCGCTACCACGCCCGGCTGATTTTTTGATTTATTATAGAGATGAGGTCTCTCTGCCCAGGCGGGTCTCGAACCCGCGGGCTCAGGCAATCCACTCACCTCAGCCTCCCAAAGGCGCGGGATTACAGGCTGAGCCACCGAGCCCGGCTACCCATAGACATTTTACTGCTAGGAGCACCTTCTATACATGAGACACTAAGCTAAGTGCTTCATATAGGTCATTTCACATAACCCCAGAAACAACACTATCCTTAATATCTTCATTTTGCAGAAGAGGAAACAGGTTCATAGGCTGTGGAACTCACTCAAGAAAGCACAGCTAATTGGCCATAGAGATTTGAATTCACATGGTCTAGCCACCTCTTCAACTGGAGCTCTTAGTATTGAGCAACACCACTTCTGGCGAAGCAGGGAGAAAGGCTGGCAGCAACAGCAGGAGGTAGTCAGGATCACAGGAGGGAGGAAGTAGTGTCTGGAAAAAGGGCATTGGGGATGGGATGAGGATGCAACCTCCCCTTTCCCAGGTTGGTGGTGGGGAGTGGCCACCTCACTTGGAGAGAGAACTCTGGGTGGGGCTTCAAGCACTCTAAATGGACACCCGACCTCTTGTTCCCAGAGGGCCCAGGCTACCTTTCACCCTCTCCTTCCTTCCCCCCTTGCCTCCCAGCACAGCACCAGGAGTCTAGTGGACACTCAATAGACCGTTGGGATATGACTATTGCCTCTAGTAGTCACATCCCCTCTCTGGGCTATGGGACACTGGGGTGGTGGCCTTAAAGGCCCCTTCCAGCCTTCCTGTTGGGCAGTTTTCTGCTTTGGGGAAGTGGTCATGGCTCCTTCCAGCCTTCCTGTTGGACAGTTTTCTGCTTTGGGGAAGTGGTCATGCCACCAGGGATGTTCAGCGTGCCGCTTATTCAATTCCCTTTCTCCAGCAGCCCCACCTTGGTCGGGGTGAAAATAGGAACCCCCTCTCTTCACCACCCTACCCGAGGTCCCGTCCGCACCCCCACCAGCCTGCAGCTTTGGGTGCGGGGGTTCAAGGACACTCCTTCTCTTCTTTATTTGCCTTTTGAAAGCGTCTAGTACGTTCCATGCCCACTCTTAGGAAACAAATGCCAAACTGTGAAATAGAGTTTGTTCTTTCCTACTCTACGAAGAACTCGAGTCTTCAGAGAGGTTAAGTGACTTGCTCAGGGTCACGCAGTCAGTCGGCAGCAGGGCCCAGATACATAGGGCTCGCTTGATGGTACCAAAAGCCGGACAGTCCTGGATTCACCCCTTCCGACAAGAGAAGAAACATTTAGGGGTCCTTATCCCGCCTCATGGCCCACTCCCCCTGGGCCCTCGGCCCCTCCTCCTTGGGAGAAGGCAGAATCCCAGCATCCCTCAGTGCCCTTAACCAGGCACCCTTAGTAACCCCGAGCCCGTTAGCCACCTCCGGCGGACCAGTCGGGTTTGGGGCGCGGTTGTGGCTGGCGGGGGCTGTGGGTAGGAGGTGGCTGGGGGACCCAGCCGGTCCTCACAACTCTATTTGCATACGGAGTCGGCTCTCCGCCTCCCCGCCCCTCCGCCGCGCTCTTCTTCCCTCCTTCCCTTGTCCCCTCCACCCCGAGTCCCCTGTCCCCCGCTCCTCCCCATCGGACCCTTCCTCTGGGACCCCCTTCTGGGGCTCCCAGCTCCCAGACTCTCCTACTCGTGCCGAGCGCGTATTCCGGAGGCACCTGGGGGAGGGGAGTCCTGGGCTGGACCGGGCTGGGGAAGACGCCTGGGGCACTGCCCGGCGCTAACAAAGGGAGCCGGCTACCGGCCGGCGTGGGCGCGGAGCGGGCGGAGCAACCGCAGCCGCGCGGCCGAGAGTGCAGCGAGTGAGTAGAGGGTGCGGTGGGCGGCGGCGAGGCCCGGGCTCCCGGGAGGAGTGATGTAAAGGGGCGCCGGAGGAGAGCGGCGCGGCGGGGCCCGTGGCGCGCCTAGGGCGCAGGGACTCTGTCTCCAGCGCCGCCTCGGCCGCCTTCGCCGCGAGCCGGCCGCCTTTTCACTGGGGGCTTCTGTGTATTTGTCGGGCCAAGGGGCCGCGGTGCCTTCCCCCTGCCTCCTTGAGCCTGCAGACCCACAACAAACCCACGTGTGCGCTGCCGTGGGGAATCCTGCTTTCTCCCTGGCACCATCAGTATGGGGGGGGGGGGCGGGCGCCTTGGAGAGTCCGGGTTGCTTCAGATCCCGCCCGCTGGATTTACAGATGGAGAAATTGAGGCCCTCGGAGGGGGAGGGGACACGGGCACCATAACAAACGCACGTGCGCCCTGCGCAGACATCTCCGCGCGCCGCTGGCCCTTAGAAGCCGCCCTGCGGAGTCGGCCTATTGTCTCAGCCTCCGGGGAGGAAGCGGCGCTGGAGGCGCCACTTGCTGGAGGAGGGCGCGAGAGACATTTAAAAGGTACCGCTAGTGCCTCAGACTAAACTGCCGGACTTCAAATTGGGAAAACTAAGCAAGACAGCAGCTGCAAAAAGGTTGCCCCAGGCCGAGAATCTGTCCCCGACCGTGGCGCATTCTTTGGGGTGGAGTGGACAACCCCGCAACCAACCCCGCACATCCACCTCACGGAGGCTTTCTTAGAGACTTTGGTTAAGCGCCTAAGGGTTCCCCTCCCAAAAAGACCGTGCCCGCCGCACTGCTGTCCCCGCAGTCCGGCGACTCCCTCTGTTGGGAGATTGTGAGAGCCTCCTCGGCCTGCAGAAAGCACAGTCCAGTTTAAACGTCGTCCAGCGCGATCTTGGGTATCACTTGCGCTTTACCTCTTAGGTCCGTGCGCTAGACTTCCCGGGTGGTCACTGGCCCCTTTTGACTTTTTATGGGTTTTCACAAGCAAGGCCAGCCAGGCTTCTTGTTCTAGCTGGGAACGTACTGTTTCCAGTTCTGAGTTTATCTGAAAGAAATTCCGAGGTCCGGAAAGAGAGGCCTCTCGTTTGTTTTGCTTTTTCCTTGCTTACATATGCTCAGCGCAGTCTTACAGGTTTTACTTAATCAGACATGGTCTACCGCACTGAGATGGTGCGGAGTCGTCTTGGCCTGTGAGGCGTAGGCGTTGGTGCGGAGCGAAGTGGTTTGTTGTGGGCTTGCGTCGTGCGCGCAAGGGTGGAGTGTGCTGGCTGCGCGGCTAGGCTAGTAAGGCTGCAGGGGAGAACTGTCCCCGGGGAGAACTGTCGAGCCTCCACCCCTATACCACTGTCACTGAAGAGGTGTGGGGAGCATTTAGTGGACCTTCTTATTTTACAGTCGGGAAGCCGAGGCCTGAGAGTCCAGCCACTTGTCCAAGTATAAATCGGGTGAAATCAGCCAACGGAGAGAGGACTGAGTGTGGGTCACCCCTCTCCCAGACTGCACCGCCCTGCCGGCAGCTGAAGGCAAAACCAGGATTCTGTGGTTGGCTTAAAAGGCTGTGGCCTTAGGCAGAATAGAGCTCAACAAAGAAAGTAATTCAGAGAGAACACTGCGCCCTTCCATTATCCCTTTCAAGAGTTCTTTATTCTGTTGAGAAAAGATAGATTTAGTAATTCCTGACTCTCATGCTAGCCTTTCATAAGCTTAGCTGTTTTTCTTTCCTGGCTGCCCCCTTCCCCTCAAATTGGAATATGGCCAGTTATGGAGACTCTGATGTTTTGCCTCTCATCCCCGCGCCAGGAGGCCTTTGTTTGGGCAAAAGCATGGGCTGCTGACATCAGCCCCACCCGAGGAAAGTGTCTTTTAGCTGGCTACTCCTCAGCCACTCATGGGAGAACAAAGCATTGTTTTCATTGATTGTATTTAATTAGCTTATTTTTTAAAATGAGAGTCCCACGGAGGTAGCTGTGTGTTTTCCTATTTTCGGAAGAAAAGTTGGAAAACTGAAAAACACCGAGAGGCCGGATTTCCCCAGAGTTAACACGCCATTTTGCCCTGACCTTGTTATCTCTTAGCTACACTTGTTTCTTTCTTTTGAGTTTCCAGGGTGTTTTACTTTCAAGATAAATCCAGTTGGCACTGGAGTATAGTTTCTCCTCAGGATGCCAGCTCTGTAAGTAACTTCGGAAATCATCTGACCAGACCTTGTTATTTTCCGAGAAAACTGAGGCCTAGAGAAGAGACGTTACTTGCCCAATGATACACTGCAACACACTGTCTACTTTTGGTGCCTATTTGCTTAAAAGGGAAACTGTGCTCCAGTCTGGGCGACAGAGTGAGACTCCGACTCAAAAAAAAAAAAAAGGGAAACTGTTGCATCAAATGAGTTGCTGTTGGTACCCCAGAGTAAAGTCAAGTTATGATGGTTGTTATAGCAGCACCCTTTAAGTACGGGAATGAATTCCTTAAGGATTTAAATAGGTTTGATTATTAAACAAAGCCATGGATCCCAATGGAGAATATGCTGAGGAATTATTGTAGTTATTGTTGGGAATCAGTTTTCTTTAATGTTTACTGAATGGTTGTTTCCTCTTTTTTTTTTCTTCTGAGTTGGAGTCTCACTTTGTTTTTCAGGCTGGAGTGCAGTGGCATAATTACAGTTTACTGCAGCCTTGACCTCCTGGCCTCAGGTGATTCTTCCACCTTAGCCTCTTGAGTAGGTGAGTGCTGCCGTGCCTGGATAGTTTTTTGATTGGTTCACTTTTCTCTTGTGCTGGGCTCCCCCATACCTCTGTGTCTTGTGTTTTCCCATTTAGGGAGCTGCTTTGTTTGAAATAAGGCAAAAGACAGTGTGAAGACAGAGGAGAGAGACTCTATTTAGCTGTTCCTGCTGCTTAACCTCTAGGGCTCCACTTTCTTTGTACATCGTGAGTCCTCCCTGCCCAGTGTCTGCACAAGCTGTTCTAGTGGAGGGGAATGCCTTAGAGCCAGAGGAGGGGGTTTGGGCCATCTTCTTTCTCCTGTGTTACTTCAGAACCAGCAAGCTCCGTCTGCATTGTGTACAGTGTGGAGAATTTGGTATCTGAACTTGGAGTTGTTGGGGGTATTAAGTCACACAATTCTTGGCAAACTTGGGGGCTCACGAGCTTTCAAAGGAGTGGGAAATGATGGTGGGAGAGTAACCCTATAGGATAATCCCATGTGCTTAGATTAGAAGACCTCACTTGCCACAAAGAGGTCTGAAGGCCTGCCAAACTATAAAGGAGGCTTTGGGCAGTTGTGAGGTTTGTGTGACTCTAATGAAAACAGACCTAGTTAAAAAAAAAAACAAAAAAAATCAAAATACAAAACCAGAACTTTCACATCTAAGTGAGTAAAACCTCCAGTCATTCCATATTTAGTGCCAAACAGGAGGTGAGGGTGGAGGGGGTCTTGTGCTTAGCCTGGGATTACAAAGAGCAGGGAGACTCATTTTTTGCCCTGAGGAAGCCCAGTCCAGCTCTACCTCCCTGGCTTAGAACACATTTGGCTCCCCTTAGATACCACCCCCAGGAGCCCACAAAAAATCAAATTTATCTCAATATTGACCTCATCTCTTCATGGGTAAAGGCAAGAGCAGATGCTAAATGACCAAGAGGAAGCAGGAAGCGTCAAAGAGAATATGGTTCTCCAAAAATGTGAGAATGTGGTTGCATTAAAAAATGCAGGAATAATTCATTAATGAAATCCACAGTAATTGTTCTGGAAAATTTGAGTCCTGAGAATTTGCCACAGGGAGTTATTTGCTCCGACCTGGTGTCAGTGATTTGTTCCATGAGGACTGAATTAGAGTTGGGCACAGTGGCTCAAGCCTGTCGTTCCAGCACTTTGGGAGGCCAAGGTGAGGGATTGCCAGAGCCTATGGGTTCGGGAACAGCCTGGGCACCTTGGCAAGACCTCATTTCTACAATAAATCAAAAAATTAACTGGGCATGGTAGTGCGTACCTGTAGTTCTGGCTACTTGGAAGGCAGAGGCCGGAGAATCGCCTGATCCCAGCAGGTCGACGCTGGGGTGGCTGTGTGTGTGTGTGTGTGCCACTGCATTCCAGCCTGGCCAATGGAGTGAGACTCTAACTCAAAAAAAAAGAAGAAAAATAACTGAATTGGGGGAAATGATTTTTTTCTTGCTAGTACATTCAAGCTACATGGCATTCTGATTCCTGGAGATGTACTTTTTATAGGCTTATATGTAACAATAATGTATATTGCTCCAACTTGGCTGGATTTAGAGTCTGTCATACTCAGTGATCTATCACAGAAACAAAGAACAGAGTACCATATGTTATCGCTCATAGGCGGACCCTGAACATTTACCATGCTACTATAAGAAAGGTATTGGCATAGCGGGACACTGCCAGGGTGGAGGTGGAGTGAACACAACATCAATAAGGGTACCTGATCTCAAACCAGTAAAAGTGGAGACCAAAGGGAGGTCCAAACTTTACCTGTATGATGACCACTTGTACACCTAATCCTGATCTTTAAAATAAAAAAATTAAAAAAAAAATATATTGCTTTGATGAGAAAAATAAAGCATACTCATTGAGGACAACTTGGAAAGTATTTTACCAAAAGGTATATAGAAGCAGAAAAAAATCCACTATCCAAAGACAACCCCTGTTAACATTTGGCAATTTTCCTTCTGGTCTTTTTCTTTTTTTAATTGGATATGTTTTCTGTAAACAGTTGAGCATACTATGTGTACAGTTATGTCTCTTATCTTTCTTGCTCAGCTTTCCTGTATGTGAACATTACATAGTCTATATCATGGTAAAGCCGCACTTTTTCTTTCATCACCCATACCAGCTGTTCAGCATCTCCAATGTCATGTGGTCTGCCAGATCTGATCACGTCAGTGGCCATGTCAGTGAGGGCCTGTCAGGCCTGTAAAGGAAGGAACCTCCAACCACTTCTGCCTTTCCCACTCCTGCCTTGAGGGTTCACAC